TTTTTTACTTTTTTTTTAATTCCCCCCCCCCCCCGCCCCATCAGTTGTACCTACAAGACAACCATTAAGACAGTTTGCAACCCTCATGGTAATATGACAACATGATAAGCTAACCACTGTCTCTGAAAGGGTTAATGATACAACTTTGGTGCCTGAAATGGATTAGTGATTCTCAAAAAAAAAATGTATCTTGAGGGTAAAATCAACTCAAAATCAAGACAACTCATGGTCAAACAGCCCCCAGAAACTGATTAGTATTATTATGTGTATTAGCAGCCTGTTTAAACAGCAAATTGTTCTGGTCTGAAGACTGCGTAACATTGCTCATACAAACATCTGATCAATATGTAGAAGTTGTTGTCCGTCTTGCGGAAGGAAGCACAACTCCTCTTCATTTGTGCCACTGTATAGGATGAGAATGACAGCGGGAGGCCTACATGATATCATTAGCACGCTGCGGTTGTGGCAAACATCTCATAATCAGAACAGCACGTGAGAAGATGGCAGCATTGTGGCAAAAGAAGAGAAGTGGGAGGACAGCTATTGTCGCCCCCAGTGTGAGGCTGCTTACATTGTTGTTGTGTACTCTCACTGTGTATCCGTGTTGAAAGGGAACCGAGTTGTTGATAGCCTGATCCATTTGATAGGACAAAGCAAAGAGGCTCATGTCGACCAACACTCGTAAATCTTGACTGACGACAATAAGGTCCAAATGAAGCAGCTCAGATATAACAATTGAATCAGCGAAAGGCTTTGATCATTCTTCAATTTCTTAAAAAAAAGTACGGGATTCTTGCGATTAACGAAAATCTTTTCTGTTTTGAAACCCTGAACCAGAATGTACTTTAGGTCCTAATTAACATAAATACCCTCCAATTGCCCACAGGACTGCCATTATTTTAATGAATACTAATAAAGACTACTATTTTGAATACATTTTCATGTGTTATGTGATACAAATGTAGTCTTTGTTTTTAACTTTGAAAAATAGTCATTGTTGATTTTAATTGAAGTGAATGCGCATCTTTTTCTTTGTCTCTGCAAATGGCTGTCCCTATAATTTTAATTCCCTTGAATTTCCTTGGAAAGTTTCCAATTTTTTTAAATTTCCAGAATTCCCAAACATAACCTATGGCAAATAAGAGGCTTTTTTTTTTTTTTTTTAAACTAGAAAACATTATTCCAGCCATTCTGTTGAAAGTTTGCAAGGCTTTCTAACAAAAGATTTCCATCAACACGAACACCACATCGTCCTTTACAATAGACTTATAATGGCTTTCGTCATGTCGTCTGACAATGCAGACACAGCTATTGACAGAGCCAGGATGTCCTGCCACTCTTTCTTGGATGAATAATTCACTGTCAAAAGCAGCAGAAGACTGCTGTTGAAAACGCTGCTGTGTCTCCTTGCCAGGTGACAGTGTAGACTCGAACCAATAGTATCTGCTGTCACCATTGCCTTTTAGATGCAGACATTCACGGGCGTTGTGGAATATCATACAATACAATACTGTACATTTAATAGTGCAGAATTCTTGCGCGTTAAAACCAAAGTGCAGCTCAACGCGTACACCACGAGGTGCGAAATGAGACAGATAGGAAGAGGAGCGTTTTCAATGTGATAATTATGTGGGGATGCCAGACACTTGTGGATGAGTGATGGTGGCTCCCATCTGTGCGCCCCTCAGCGCCAGCGCACCACAGACGGGTGCTGTCATTGAGCAGCAAGTAGCAGCATGTAGGTCTTGAAGAAACAGACCACCGTTTTTTTATTTTTTATTTTATACAAGGCTCAAAATATTATTTTGTCTATCCGGAGTAGTTTTGCGAAGCACTGACTTCGTTTGAGGAACAATTTTCAAATTTTGTGGAGCAATTTTATTGCAGGTTAATCCTATGGACCTGAAGCAAGGTTTTTTTTTTTTTTTTAATTAAACAATACAAATACAAATGAACAATTGTTTTTTTTTTTTGTTTTGTTTTGTTTTTACATAATCAACAGTTGTTATTTCCTCAATTCACATTGTGTATAGCAGCAAACTGTATTTTCTTGTTAAGAAACAAAGCTAATTGATTTAAAAAAATGTAATAGGGAGGTAATTTTGAGAACATTTGTTGTGCAGTCCTCAAAAGTCAAAATCAAAACTAAGGACTATTGTGAAAACAAACAAATAACATTATTGATGTAACAAATATTTTTACACTGTGTTAATATACTATTAACCTTGTAGGCAACGCTTCCTGGCTGACGTACACAGTTTAACGGAAGTAATTTCCTTTCAGGTTTTGTTGAGCAAGAATGATTTTCTCTCCTGAGTCCGGGCATTTATTAATTTGCCTGCTATTTTGATGTTCAAAGTTGCATTCTCTCCACTTTAACGCGGTTTCACCCAAAAGGCTGTGAAAAGTGGACTTGATCGCCCAAGCGCATTCTTACTTTGTTAAAAGCACTAGCATTGTCAATTTTAGGTTAGCTTCGCAATTACCATTACTTCTATGTCTTTCCTCATCATTGTGAGAACGATGTTTGTTAGAAGTGTAACTTATTCGCCACCACAGAGGTGTGGACTTTAGCGACTCCGCAACACATTAGCCGTAGCAGTAGACAGCTAAAGTTTGTTGCTAGCTAGGTGCTGCGGCATTAGTACCAGAGCTTGCTTCGATAGCTTACTTCCCACGTGTAGCTGATTTATCTTGCTTTTTGGGATTGTCTCGCAAGTTGTTTCTCAGTTTTGCTATTCAATGTGTTTTGATGGGACACAAAATACAAATTTTTGCCGCACAAATTACGTTGCAAAACCACTTATTTAGAGCCTAGTAGTGTACTGTATGCGTCATGTCATCACCCTCTTTGAGGGCTCCTCTCTCTTTTCATTATGTTGCTGGAGAGATTTATCTTGCTAACTTT